CTCACTGCCCAATATTTTTCTCAAGGAGCGAGGACGCGCTAGCCCAGGAATGGCCTCGCCGCCCGCTCTATGCATTCCCTCCGATCGCTCTGCTACCACAGGTAATTCAGAGGATCAGGGACACACGCCACTCGGTGCTCCTCATAGCCCCGCGTTGGGAGAGTCAGAATTGGGTTCCGGAGCTCACTCAGCTGTCGCAGACAGCCCCGTGGCCCATCCCAGTCAGAGCAGATCTCCTCTCTCAGGCTCGCGGCACGATCTGGCACCCCCATCCACGGCGCTGGGCGCTACATGCATGGGTGATCAGCGACTATTCGTTGATTTGCCAGAAGGAGTAAGAAACACTATCATACAGGCTAGAGCACCTTCCACGAGAAGGCTCTATGCGTCTAAATGGTCTGTGTTCTCAAAATGGTGCACCGACAAACATCTGGACCCACGGTCATGCGAGGTGCCGTCTTTGCTTGTTTTCCTTCAAGAGATGCTGGACAAGGGCAGGTCCCCCTCCACTCTCAAGGTTTACGTGGCAGCCGTCGCGGCGTTCTCTGAACCCCGACGCGCTCAGTCCCTGGGCAAAGACGAGTTAGTCATCCGCTTCCTCAGGGGAGCTAAGAGGATGAACCCTCCGCGCCCCCCTTCGGTTCCTATCTGGGATCTTTCTATAGTTCTCGAAGCTATGAAAGCACCCCCGTTCGAACAGCTCGAGTCTGTGGACCTAAAATACCTCTCGCTCAAAACCGTTTTTCTGACGGCTCTGTCCTTAGTAAAACGCGTGGGGGATCTTCACGCGCTCTCATCCAGCGCCGCGTGTCTCGAGTTTGGTCAGAATGATTCTCTTGTCATTCTCAAACCTAGACATGGCTATGTCCCGAAGGCGATTGGTACCCCGTTCAGGGCTCAGATTATTTCCCTATCGGCTCTGCCTTCATCCGATAGTGAGCGCGACGCCAATCTCCTCTGCCCGGTGCGGGCTCTGAGATTGTACACTACGCGCGCTGCCGCGTTCAGACGCGCTGAGCAGCTTTTCGTGTCGTTTGGGGGGCGCACCAAAGGTCTGGCCGCCTCTAAACAGACACTGTCTAGATGGATAGTAGACGCTATCGCCTCTGCTTACGCATCTAAATGCCTGCCCTGCCCTCTGGGCATCAGGGCGCACTCCACTAGAGGCATGGCCTCATCGTGGGCATGGTCCTGTGGAATTTCCATTCATGACATTTGTGTGGCCGCGGGATGGGCCTCCCCGTCCACTTTTGTCAGATTTTACAACTTGGAAGTTCCCGCCTTGCAGGCAAAATTACTAGCTGTCTAAACGACCAGCTCCCTAAGAAGCTGCATTACTGGGAGTCCCTCACACAACCGGTTCGCCCCTTGTGCTCTCCTTAAATGCTTATACACTTCATGTGCCCGCTCTGCCGGCCTCATACATGCTTATGTATACACTTCATGTGCCCGCTCTGCCGGCCTCATAATACATTCACTCCACGTTAAAAATCCCCCGGTATCACCCTGGGATTCATGAGTGGATTCATAGCGCGCACGGCGTTGACCAGGTGTTCCCGCAGCGTAAGCTAGCTTACGCAATACGAGAGAACCTCTCGTAAGAGATGAATCGGTTACCTAACGTAACCTCGGTTCTCTCTAGAAGAGGGAACGAGTATTGCGTTCCCGGCCGTGCTTGCGCTACTAGCGTTTCGCTTCACGCTGAAATAAATCAACATATAAGCCTGGGAGAGACTGTTATATACACCATAGCCACGCCCATTCTGGCGGGCCATGACGCAATGAGCGCGCGGGCGCCTCTCATTGGAAGCGGGTTCAGCCCCGCTCTCCCATAGGCTTAAGCAGTTCTCTCTGAGCGAACCAATGAGCTGCTAGCTAGCCTGCTCTAGGTCTGCCGCAGAGGAACTGCGTTGTCAATGGATACAAATTATGAAATACTTTTTTGGCTTCAATATCTCAGCAAAGATGAATCTTTCCCGCAGCGTAAGCTAGCTTACGCAATACTCGTTCCCTCTTCTAGAGAGAACCGAGGTTACGTTAGGTAACCGAAAGTTTTAACTAGGACACGGGCCGCGTCCATGCGTTGCCTATCAATGACATCATACGCGCGATACCATCGATTTACGGTTTTATTTTGTAGAAACCATGGAAACACCAAAGACTCTTTAATATATTATGTGTTTTATTAAACAGGTGAGCAACTGTTTGGATACATTCATCGACAAAAAAATAATCATTGTTATACAGCTCAACACAGTTAGTCTTTTTGTTTAAATCTCGTTTTCTTGATTTACCGCGAGTACCATGTTACTATGCCTAATATCGATCCAGCTCACTGCAAGTGTGCAACAAGTCTCTGCCGAGCAAACGCACAGAGTAGCATTATAACAACTTTCTACACACTCAAATGTATCTAATATGATAAAACAGTGCTGTGTTTCCCCCACATACGCATGACCGGAAGAAGCGGAAGCGGTGTCTGCGGTTATAATAAAAGCTCCACTGCTCTCGAGACGTGTGTTGCGTTCTTCTCTTATTAGCAATCACTCCAGCGGCCTTGTTCTGCTCCAACGGCTTTAGTAACCTTAATAAATCTTTAATACATTACCGGTCATCCCTGAATATGATTTCTGCCCGAGTCACGCCGTATTCTCCATCGGCTGTAGAGGTGAAGAAAATGATCCCATGATTCCGCGAAATCAAGCCGTCATCAAGCTACGCCATTGTTTTGAATAAATGACCTCTAGTGACGAAAAGTTACATAGTGTGCCTTTAACATTATTTTAATTTAGTTAAAAACAAGCAATTATAACTATAATTATACTATGAAACATTCCTATTACATTGCTATAATTTCCACTGTTTAATTGTCAGGAGAGTAGCAATATATCCAATACATTTTATGGATCAAATTATTTGGATGCCCAAGGTAAATTTTACTTTCATGGACAAGGCTGACAAACAATTTGTATTTTGTTTGTTTTTGTTGTGTCACTCATTGTGAAAAAGGTCTCTTGACTTGATTTAGAATCAGCTTCACTTTGTCTGTTTTTTATATATCAGTCAGATATTAAATCACAGGAGATTATAAATTAGCACGCACACTTTGAAACACATTATACAACACCCTTTAACAGGAAAATGCAATAATTAACAGGGCAAAGGAAAATGATTTTCTATGCCCAGTTATCAGTAAGGCGACTGGGGGATACAGCAGGTTTATGAAGCCGTTACTCTAAGAGATGTACATGCAGGGGTCAAGATTACTAATAACCCACTGTACACTACAAAACAAACAGCCCATTCACTGCTGGGGATGTTCTCAATTCCTGTAATCAAGCTCCATTGTCTTGCATTACATAGGGCTCATCTAAGAGGCAAATAAAAGGATCATTAACTTAGTCCAGCTAATATAAAACTCCCCCTGAAAGAGGCACTCCACCAGGGCCTCCATTTAGACTTGGCATTACTTTAGATGGATGCTTTTGCAGTCCCAAATTACCCCACTGGTTAACATTATCATCCTTCAAGTTTAAGGTGACTACATGTAGAAGGTCCTGGTGATTTGCCGTTCTGACGGTGTACCATCTCTGATGAATGTACTTGGAGCAGGGTTCATGTCCTCAGAAAGTCAGTAAGGGGTTGGTCAGATCACAAGACCGGCACGGAGCCCCTCCTCACGTAAGTGGATGGATCACCATGTGTAACGCGGCCAAATTAAGCCCTGATTAACTTGGCGAGTGGCCAGCGTGCTTATTCAGCCCTCTAAACTTTACACACAGCAGAACAAAGGTCCATCTACTGGATGACAGGTCTGAGAAAAGGCCATCGAAAACCCAGAATGATCAGAGAGTTGAGGATTAAGTATTTTACGGTTCCTTGTGCTCATTTTGATTTGCCCATTTCTGGTTGACTGAACAAATAAAGTTGCTGTTCATGGCTACAGACATCATATTTTATTTTGTGGGGAAGGAATAATAAAAAACACTGGATCAACTATTTAAACATCATTATGCATTTTTAGGCCATTTCTGGTTGTTTTCTCTGTCAATGCTTCGGGCAGGTAGGCCTTTAATATATTGAAAAAGTTCAGATTAGGAGATAATGGGTCTTTGGGAAATCTGCATTCACTTATAACTAATAACTTTAATGAATGAATTCTAAATTGACAAATAACTGTATGAAAAAACTGAAACCACAAACAATCGCTTACTCTGGGTGTCCTTATAATCATTTTAAGATGAAATTGTATACATGGATACTTCATCTCAAATATTTTTCGTCATATACAGTAAGGGTATACATTTGTAAGGGTATAAATACACAGGGCAAACAAAGGGAGCTAAATGAAATACAGGTTAAACTAATCAGTAACTAAGGAAAAAAAATAGACCATGATCAGTAACTATAGAAACAAAAAAGAATTGGGAACACAGGCAAATAAGAAAAGAACAAAACCAAACTAAGGATACGTTTACAACACTACAACGATGCACTAAAAACGAAAACGTTTTTCCAGTTTTTTTTTCCTCGCAACATTGTCAAAAAGATCCCCGTTCACACGGATCTGCAAATATGGCTAAAAACGCTTTGAACTGTGTATGAACTGATTTTGAGGATCTTGCTGCCCTCGAGTGAAAGCGCATCTTTAGAGAGTCTCATGTTTGCTGAGAGTGACAAAGGGCTGTAAAGGAAAGGCTGTGCAGAAAGCACTTATATGGAGATCGTTTGGGATGTTTTATTACATTTATGTTTATGCAAATGACTAACCTCGGGCACACGGTCACTCATTTAAAATACTCCAAATGCATTAACATTAGAACAAGGTTAAGAACAAATTCACATTGTGTACACATTTAGGTGGAATTTTTTCATCAGAATTTCTCCGGAGAGTACAAATATGAAATAACGCACACAAATATTACTGTATGAGACCCATTTTTCTCAAGATAAACTGCTATTTTGAGCAGTTTCGTGAAAAAGAGGCTAAACATGCTTACCGATGACGATGAGGGTGTAGTTAATGTTGACGCTGCCAAAGCCATTGGTGGCTTTACAAATGAAGGTCCCAGCATCCTCTGCCTCCACCTCTTTGATGCGCAGGGCTTGCTGAAGGACCCTGAAGCGCATCCAACCGCTGTGGATGTTTCGGCCGTCTTTGGTCCACATGATGAGGGGTGGCGGATCGCCCTCCACGGGACACTGAAGTTTCATGGTGCGTCCGATTCTGCCGGTCTGCCGGTGAGCGATCTTCTCTGCTACACGTGGAGGACCTACAGAGAACAAGATGATGGTAATTCCTCTCATTGTAGAGTGCCGTCTTAATATACATGCCACAAATACAAACCCTTCTCCCTGTTAACTTACTGATGAAATGTAGGAGAAACAAAACGACGAGTTAAAAAGTATGTTAGAGATTGAGCTGCTGGAGATTAACATTCGTAAAACAAAGAGCTTTGCTAGCGGGTTAATTAGCTCAACAATTAATTAGCCCATATAGCCTCGTTATGAGGTTGATCATCTAATCACATTATTTAACGTTAATTCTGTACAATGTCCGTTAAAGACATTATATCAAAAGACAAAAACTATGAGTTCAGTAATGTTATAAGTTAGGTGCAAAATCCTTGAGTACCACCAGAAGTATTTACTGTATTTACCTTTTTTTTTTTTTTTTTTTGGAGGGGGGGGGGGGGGTGGGGGGGGGGGGTTGGCAGAATTCACCTCACAAAATCAAATGTTCATTGTTCAAAAAGTTCATTGTTAGATTATGCTCACATGAACCCAAACTTTAGACTTTTTAAAGTGAATCGAGTGGTTCCTCCGCGCCCGAATTCTAAACAAACCAAAAGAACTTTAGGATCAGTGCTTATCAAAACCTGTTGTGTGCCCTTCATAATCTTTAATCAGAAACATTAACATGCCTGCAGTGCTTGCCATGGCATCTCTTTTCTGATGACCTGATGACCTGCACTTCTGATGTCGCCTTTGGCTTTTGGCTTGCTTATTATTGATCTGCCTGCATTTACACCATTATATGAGAACTGAAATGACCGGGACGATGACATCACGGTTTTCTCCAGAACGGCTATATATATATAAATGAACTAAATTAACAACTTTTTTTACAACAAAAATGAATCATCACTGAACTTACTTAAGCTGGACTATGATGCTATTTTCTTCTAGAAACAAACTTTGTTGCATTATTTTCCTGTTATCTCTGTAAAGTTGCTTTGAAACAATCTGTATTGTAAAAAGTGCTATATAAATAAAGGTGACTTGACTTGACCAGCGCAATAAGATTGTCCAATGGCCAGACGAGATTCAATCCCTACCCATACTGTCACTCACATGAAACGATGAAGCAATTAGCAAACAACAACTTTCTACAATCGAATAAACTCCCGATTAACAAACCAAGTGCCATCTTTCTTGTTTCTTACTCATGAAACCGTTTCACTCAAACAAATACGTCAAAATAGGGAACAAAAGTTGGTCGCAATTTCTGTTCATCATGCTGAATTTTCTGTTCTAAAAATCCTCAATGGTTTCTTAGCAGTTCACTTTTCAGTATTCTTGTATACCGGCTGTTGGACAGAGGTAAAGTGAAAGCTTCAGAGATCAGTTGGAGGTTTAGAGAGTCTTGGCCCGGCAGAGCAGAGCGAAGGCTTCCCCCTGCCCACGCACATGTTGCTTGCTCCCGTTAAAAGACTGAATGCAGGAAATTGATATTGTCACTGTTTATGTCTGTGGGGAAATTGTAACCGCAGTCCCGTGTCAGCCAGCCATGTCTCGCTGGCGTACTCCGCTACTGGCCTGCATTGTTTGTGCGCTCCTCAGTTGGTGGCTCCGAGGAGGTTAGAAAGGTCAGAGTCTGCAAATACTGTCCGCACTCGTTCCTCTCAAGGCTGTGTGAGTCACTCTAATAGCTGTTTACGTAAGGCTAATGGCAGATTGGATCCATTTAGCTGCCACAAAACCGGGCTTAAGATCTTGTGGTGAAAAAATTGAGAAACAGATTTCCACATGCAGTCATACGCACGAAAGGATATAAAGTTTTGTACGCCCGTAATTGTAGCCATCACTCGGATAAATGAAGAGGTAGGAGTATTTTATCAGACGTTCATCCAACACATAATCATTTCCAAATCCGTCTCGACAAATTAAATCCGCAATCTGATGAAAGATATCATCTGAATGACAGAGGATGAGTCTGGAAAACCCATCATACAGTCATCTGAAGCCACATGTCAGGTTAATATGAGGGTATGGTGTAAACATGATGTAACTGAAGGTTAAGGTCGCAACTTGCTGTATTAATAACTCAAGTGATCACAGGTGTGCAACTCTGTGTATATCTGCTATTTTATAACGGCCTCAAACATGGCTGAGATGATCATATTTGTAATGTATTACTTTTTTAGGTATTTTCATACCAAATGTTACAAAAGTTTTTGTAATGATGCTAGACTTTTATGTAAAGTTTGTAATGATGCAAGACTTTTATGTAAAACGTAGGCTAATACATTTCCTTTGTGTATCTGCTGTAATTTCCAACTTTTTTTAATATATAGAAACTACTCCATAAAATAAGCAGCCCTAGCATACCTAGAAAATCTATATTCATTACAAAAATCTCTACAAAAAATCTTTAAAAAACAAAACAAAAAAAGTTGCTGCGGAGATGAATAAAACAAAGTAAGAAATACCTCCTTTTAGCTTAGTTTATAACTTCTTTGTCAGACATCTTGAGGCCTCCTGGTTGAGAACCGCTCAGGACATACGGTAAGGATTTGTTCTCTTACGAGAGGTTCTCTCGTATTGCGTAAGCTAGCTTACGCTGCGGGAAAGATTCATCTTTGCTGAGATATTGAAGCCAAAAAATTATTTCATAATTTGTATCCATACACAACGCAGTTCCTCTGCGGCAGACCTAGAGCAGGCTAGCTAGCAGCTCATTGGTTCGCTCAGAGAGAACTGCTTAAGCCTATGGGAGAGCGGGGCTGAACCCGCTTCCAATGAGAGGCGCCCGCGTGGTCATGGTGTATATAACAGTCTCTCCCAGGCTTATATGTTGATTCATTTCATCTTCAGCAAGCTGCACGCTTCTGCTGTCCTGAGAAAAGCCGTCGCCGTCGAGAAGGCATCTCTCTAGCGAGCTCCCGGACCCTGAAGAAGCCGGCCGTCTTCGCCACCTTCAGCCGCCCTGCAAGCTAGCGCCGTCCGACGACTGTATCCTTTCTCTTTTCTCCATTATATCTAAAAGAGCCGAGCGTCTTTTTAAAGATGTCTCGTTTTTCCTGCGGCTCTTGCCGCGCTCGTCTCGAGGACGGAGACCGCCATGTCATCTGCGCTCTCTGCCTGGGACTCGAGCACGCAGAACTCGCCCTCGCGGATGGAGGATGCGACTTCTGTGAGAGCCTGCCGTTGTCGTCCCTGCGGGCACGACTTCTGGCAGCAAAATCCGCTCCCGCGCCGCCTTCCTCTTCGCCGCGTAAGAAGAAACGCCGCTCCCAGAGGCCGCCGGAGCCCCCAGCGGAACAATGCGGGCCGCCGCCGCCGCCTCCCGCTTCCCGCTCTCCCTCCCCGCCCCTGCCGGACATACAGTTGCCGCCGAGTGGCCGCTCTGTCGCTTCCGATGACGCCGCGGAGGAGAAGGACTCCTGTTCACTGCTCGCATCAGACAGTGAAGAATGGTCATCTCTCGGATCCACGAGAGAATCGGCGGGGATCCGCGCCGGGATAGAGGAGGAACTAATGCGCCTCCTCTCACAGGCCGTCGAACGCCTCGGTCTCGAGTCGTCTCCTCCACCCGAGCAGGCCCCGAACCGGATGGACGGCAGCTTTTTTCATCGGCGCTCGACCCCCGCGTGCAACCGGGCCGCTCCATTCCTGCCTGAACTTTACGCAGAGCTGACGAAGTCCTGGAATGCCCCGCTCTCGGCTAGAAACCGCTCTGATATATCCGCCTCGCTGCGCTCGGTGGACGGAGCCGCCGAAAAAGGTTACTCAGCCATGCCGCCCGTCGAGGACTTGGTCGCCGCACACCTCTGCCCGCCCTCTGCTAGATGGCGCTCTTCCCCCACGCTTCCTTCGAAAGCTTGCAGAGCGACCTCGAGCTTTCATGCTCGCGCCTACGCCGCCGCCGGTCAGGCCGCCGCAGCGCTACATTCTATGTCTGTCCTCCAAGTATAACAGAGCGATATTCTCCGTGAGTGGGCCGAAGGCGGTAGAAACCCCTCCCCCGCTGTCACGGATCTGAGAAGTGCTACGGACCTCGCCCTTCGCGCCACTAAAGCCGCCGCACAAGCTCTGGGGAGATGCATGGCCAGCCTTTGTGTTGCCGAGAGACACTTATGGCTCACGCTCGCCGACATGGGAGATTCTGAGCGCGCCGCGTTTCTTAACGCGCCCCTCTCCCCGACGGGCCTTTTTGGATCTGCTGTCATGGGAATCGTCGATCGCTTTTCTTAGGTCCAGAAAGCTACTCAGGCGATGAATTTGTTTCTGCCCCGCCGCGCTAGCTCTTCCGCGGGCCGCTCTCGCGAGCCTCCTGCCAGAGCTCCACCACAGCGCCCCCCTCCGCAGACTCAAACAGCCCAGCGCAGACAGGGCGGCCGCCCTCGCTCTCGCTCTGACAGCCGCCGCAGACCGCCGCCCCCACGAGGCCCGCGACCTAAGATCACGCTGAAGCCTGATCATCAGAAGTCTGCCTAGCAAAGTTAAGAAAACGACGGTGCTCTCCCGCTGCGGCCGGACCGCCGTCAAAGCTTCGCCCTCTGCCAGTCCCCGTTATTTCGCCGACTGCTGTAGTGTTGACCGCCACAAACAAGCCGGTGTCCCAGCCCGCTTGCGAGCGACAAAAAGCCGTTTTTACGGCTACCCAGAGAAATCTCAAAAAGAGAAAATTTGCCAGTTGTGTAGAAAATGTGCCCACAATCATGTGCTCACCCATACACAAAAGCATAACATATCCCGTGTCTCTATCAGAGCCCCATCACATGAAACGGGCACAGCCCGCTCTAATATCAGAGAACATAAACACGCCCACGAGCTCGTGCGCGTGTCCCCTCTCTGCTCGCTCTGTTTCACGGCCCATAGACTCCTCTCTGAGTGCAAATCCCGTTGCCACACACATTCAAAGCGCGCCCACACACTGTGTCCAGCCCGCTATGTGCAGCAATCAGGGCGATATAGCCATTCGGCCACTAGCCGCATGCTCCAAAGCGTGGGAAGCCATTCCAGGCATTTCCCCGTGGGTACTAAGCAT